GCTCTCCATCCCTCTCTGCTCACCTGTCTGTCAGAAGGTGGCTAGCAGGCGACTGCACACGAAGAGGAATCCTCGGCCCTGGACCCTCAACTCAACCTCAACGTGGCAAGGCCATAATTAGAACAAGCTCTGACAGAAGAAATGCAGGGGAGGCATGGTGGGCTCCTGTTGAGTCCCTGAAGCACGTCTCTGAGGGTCAGCCAGCCAAGTGCCCACTCACATCACGTCCCACGAACCCACCATGTTCCAGGGCAGCTCACACCATGCCCTGTCTCCTAAGTACTGGGGTTCCAAAGCAGGCTCGAGTCTTCTCCCTTTCAATTCTGCTCAGGATGGGCAGAGGGGGAGGAAGTCCTGCGTGACCCTGAACAGGTTGCTGCAGCCCCCACGGGGTCAGCGCCACTTGCTTCTTCACCCACAGCACATGAGATTCCTTTATACGCAGTCTTGTTCAAGCTCTCTCTGGAAAGGTAGACCCTATTGGGCTCATTTTTTAAAATGAAATCACTGAGACCCAGGGAGATTATGAAGTGGCCAGATGAACTCAGCTGTATCCTAGCCAGCCCTGGGTTTCAAATCTGTGTCTGGTTAGCCTCATATCCAGTGGCCTTTCCACCCTCCAAGAACTTTCAAACACCCATTTTTCCCCATCTGTAATTTTTAGTCCTTCTCCATCCAAGTTTCCAGTGTTCTGGGCCCAACTTGAAGGGCAAACAGAGGACTAATGAGGTGCCAGACAGCAGAAGACACTTGCTGGCAGGTGATGTGAGGCTTTTCTTCTGCACAGTCATGGCAGAAGTGACCAGACTCCCAGAAGTCATCCCCTAGCAAAGAAGGCCATATGAACAGTCTCCATCAATGCCCCAAACACCCATTCATCCCAAAGCTCACAAGCTGTCCATGACAGGGCCTCAGATCTAGGAAACCATCTTCACACCACCAACTTGAGCCAAAGAAATGTCTCCCAAAGTCAAGTTCCAGCAGAGAAAAAAGACGGACTGGGCAAATGTGGCTTGATCCTGTGGGGCAAAAAAAAAAAAAAAAAATCCAATGGAAAAGGGGGGAAATAATTTATCAGGAGGATGATAGCAAGCCCATGGGTAAAAGCAGAATGACATTTTCTCACCATGCACAGTAGATGTGAATTTCCCCCCATGTCTCCGTAATTAAGGGGCTAGTGCTGTGGGTGAAATAATTTATGACCCAAAGCACTCCATTGTAAATGGCTGCTGTGTTTGCTGGCTGTAAAAATGTCTCTGAACACACTGACCTTCAGCAGCTGAGCCCTTGAGTTTATAGCACCGAAGAATTGTTTTACTGCCTCAGCACAAAGCAACCAGCATGCTGGACACCTGTTGGGAGTGAGAGATGGGGATCAAGCCCTCTGGGATTTCAGGAAGAGGAATCCTTCTGAAGAACAAGGTGCTCCTAATATGAGTCAACCGGAGAAAACCAACCACCAAGTGCCGGGTCAGAGCTTGGTCCATGGTAAACAACCGGATTCAGGATAAGCCAACTAAATAGGTCTAGGCTAAGGACTGAGTTCAAGGCAAGTCCTGAGAGTACTCCAAGGACTAAGCTGAGATAACCTGAGCACGTTGGTTAATATGAAGGGCAGGGGCCAAAGAAAGACCAAAGTCGGGAACTGCAGCCAGAGGTCCCGTGTTGAGCAGACCAAGAACAGGGCAAAGTAAGAGGCGCTCCACAAAGTGGTCGAGAGCCAGAGCTGACATTTGCCATTAATGACAGCCACCAAATGGTGATGGGGGGACTCGAGCAGGGTAACAAGAACAGGGCTGGGATCAATGAAAATTTCTTCCTTCTGCATCCTTCATCTTGCCAATCGACTCAGTACGTCGATTTCACGGAGGCCCCAATGGGAAACACACTTCCCCTAAAGATGGCTACTACCAAAGTATCAACGTGGATCACTGTGCCAGTCTTGGCTCAGCATATATTCTTTGAAACTTCACAGAGAGCTATGTGACATTTGACAAAACCTCTAGAGTTCCGAACCACCTTATCGGGCCTACACCCTTTGAGAAGAAACAGAAGTGTGCAGAAGAATGGAGAGAACCCAGCTGCAGAGCACAGTTGGTGGGTTCGACGCCCTGAAGGCAGTGATGAAATCAGGGACTGTGTGCTGTTTGTTCACACGAGGAGACCTGGAAGACGGCTTCGCACTCAGCAAGCCTCCTGGCCAAAAGAGGAAGAGTCAAATGGGTTGGCCTGCACTTGCCCAATGCCCTGGGCCCCTGGGGAGAAATAAAGAGGAAGCAAGCCATTGTGCCCAGACCAAGTGAGAAACCTAGTGATTTCCATTCCTGGTATTTTTAATTCTTGTGCCTTTGAAGGTCATTTTAATTTGTTACTTGAAAAAAAATATATATAGTTGATGACCTGCCAATTTTTCACACACACATGATCACTGGAAGCCAGAGCACCCCAACTTTGTGTAAACAAACAGTCAGAATGATCTCTAAGAAGACTTGGAGGGGGCAAAGAGAAGTTTCCTGCTCTCCCCACTGCACCCACTCATTTGCCTGTGACTCCTCCAACAAGGTCTGCTGCCCACCTAACCCAGCACCTAACCCTGGGCCCGGGACAATGCACCTACTGGGTGACTATTTGGCAAATAAATTTTATAAATACATAAGGATATAAATGGGAACTAGAAATGAAATTTGCAAGAAAGAAAGAAAGTACAAAGCAGATGTGGCTTGAAGTTCTAGCCCTCCCCCAACCTCACCCACCAGAATTCAGTGATCCATTGGCAATAACAAGGCTGACATTGGCATCACACCCTTCAGGGTAAGAAGCCTGGGCACATCTCACATCACCATATTCCCACCACTCCACGCCCCTGGGAGGTAAAGGGCTTTGTGCTGATGTCGTAGGAGAGGAACTGACATGCGGAGAAGGCACGCTGGCTTGCCCAAGGTGGAAAGAAGCACTTTTTATGTGTCAGTTAAATTTTTTTTAATAATGAAACAGTAATACTAATGTAGTCATAGATAGCCACTGCAGATAAGTGTCCAAAAACAGAGGTCTTTTTGTGAACAACTGCATTTCCATAAGCTGGTTACTGCAGTCAGATAAAATGACAATCATGTAGTTTTGGGGAAATGTTCCAAAACACAGAAATGTCTGGCCACTTGTAGACTGAAGACCTCACACCTCAAGCTCACGCAATATGTGGAGGCACCCACACTCTGCACCAGTGCCTTCCTCGGCCTGGGTCACTCTGAACAACTGGCTCGTTCTCGTTCCCTGGCTCTCAGTCCTGTGACCCTCCCTCAGAGTGGCTTCTCCAAGAGGACTCCTTCACATAGTTGCTCCCCTGTGGGGTCACCCTCCCACAGCACCGTCACAGTCCATAATGACCTTGTTTGCTTATTTGCTCATCCCTGAGGTCTCTTCTCAGAGGAATGGAAGCTCCAGGAGGCCAGGTGTTGTGTCTGTCCCCTTCACTATTGTCCCTCCAGCTCCTGAACATAGCCTGGAAGCCACAGGTGTTCAGTGCATTTGTGCTGACCAGGCTGTGGCCCAACACGACCTCTCCTGCCAGTGTATCCCAAGGAGTTCTTAAAACAATACTGTAGAAAATACATAATGGCCATTAAAAATAATAATACTGTGCATGGCAATAGTCTGCATTATGTATTTTTTTAAATGCTAAAAAAAATGTTTTCACCATAAAAAAGTGATAATTGGATCTGCGGTGCATGCCTGTAATCCCAGTGGCTCAGGAGGCTGAGGCAAGAGGATCGTGAGTTCAAAGCCAACCTTAGCAACCTAGTGAGGCCCTAAGCAACTCAGTGACACCCTGTCTCTAAATAAAATATATAAAAAAAAAAAAACAGGGGATGTGGCTCAGTGGTTAAGCACCCCTGAGTTCAATCCTGGTACAAAAAAAAAAAAAAGAAGTGATAATTCTTTGAGGAGACTGACATTGACCTTGATTTGAACTTTACAGAATTGTATCTGTATCGAAACCTCATCTGTGCCCCATAACTATGAACACTTTTTAATGTGTCAGTTAAAATTTTTTTAATAATGAAACAGTAATACTAATGTAGTCATAGATAGCCACTGCAGATAAGTGTCCAAAAACAGAGGTCTTTTTGTGAACAACTGCATTTCCATAAGCTGGTCACTGCAGTCAGATAAAATCACAATCATGTAGTTTTGGGGAAATGTTCCAAAATAATGTCAAGTGATAAAAGAAGAATAAAACACGGCCTGGGTTGTACCATATTTGAAAGTGCTTGTGTGCCTGTGATCTGAATCCAAGGGGCAAGGACGACCCCAGGAAGGGAGGGGGTGAGAATCCAAGGGGAGGCAGATGGGCCCAGGGTGTGTTTTCTTAATGGGGCTTTCCATCTCCTCACACTTACTGGTCAGTAAGTGGGCCACGCGGAGCCACGTGCGATGACCAGATCCCCAGGCCCACGCTGTGGAGCGGCGTGGGCAGCAGGAAGCCCCTCACAGAGCTGCTTCGAGGCTCAAGCGGGACCCTGGATTTAGCAGCACCCAGCTCCAGCCTGACATAACTGTTTGGCCCATGAAATTGATAATAATAATAGTGACGACCCCAGTAAAACATAAGGCCCAAAGCACCACATTCCAAGGACAAGGAAATCTCCTCAGATGTGATTTGTATGGCTTTGGGGAAATACTGAGTCTCCAAGTCTCAGTTTCCCTATAAAGGGAGGTGACGATAGTGTTGACTTCACATAGTTCTTAGGACGCTTTCTTGCTTTTGTTTTTTAGCTTTTTTTTTTTTTAACTTAAAAAAAATTGTTTTCACGTTATACATGACAGTAGAGTGTATTTTGACATGTCACACATACAAGGAGTCTGACTTCCCATCCTTGGGGTTGTACAGCATGTGGAGTTACACTGGTCGTGAATTCATATGTGAACACAGGAAAGTTCTGCCTGATGTCACTCTCCTGTCTTTCCCATTCCTTCCCCCTCCCTTCCCTTCATTCCCCTTGGTCTTGTCCAATGAACTTCTATTCTTCCCTACCTCCACCACCCCTTATCGTGGGTTAGAATCCACATACACAGAGAACATTCGACCTCTGGTTTGGGGGGACTGGCTCGTTTCAGGAAGCTTTCTTGACTGTAGCAACATCTCCTCCCAGGATCCCGTCACCGTCGTCGTCATCCTTAAGCACTAAGAGCTGAGAGGAACAAAACCTTCAATCAGCCTCCTATTCCCTGCGCCGTGATCCAGTTGGTGCAGCTGTTCTTTGATTGTTCTGAGAGCAGGGGAAAGGGCTTTCATGGGCAGAGAAAGACAGAAAGAAATGAATCACTGGGTCCTGCAAGAGAGGGGATTTATTATTATTATTATTATTATTATTCCCATTAACATCAAAAGAATCCCTCCTAGCTGCATGATGGTCTCAACCACGTGTTGGCTACTGACTGGGTGCTGTGTTGAAGCCCCAGCCACCTCACCTTCTTCTGAAGGGTGCTGAGTGCTTGGGGCTCAGGGATAGACGGCAGCTCAGGTGCTGTCTGTGCACACAAAGAGCTGTCTCTCAAGTTACAGAGAAGAGCCAGGAGCAACTGAAGGAGCAGGCCCACTTCATGAACAGGATAACACTGTCATATAGAAAATCAGGAACCAGTCTCTCAGTCTATCCCTGGGTCCCAGTGAGAGATGCCCCCCATACCACTTACATCTATCTGTCCGTTGCTTTTCACCTCCTCACCCCAACATCCTACAGCAGGTCCCTGGGTATTCTTCCCCCTAGTTTGGGGAACCAGGTTTGTAGTCAGCCTGTCTATATTTAAATTCCAGCTCTTCCTGTGTGATGTTAGGCAAGTTACTTAAGCTCTCTGAGGAAGTTTCCTGAGGAGGTTATTGTGAGAACTGAGTGAGATGACGAAGTGCTCAGCACAAGGCCTGGAATACAAGGACATGGCAACAATTAGCATTATTATAAGGTCTAGGAAGGGGTCGTCAAAGGCCAGTTGGAAAGTTACCTTTTAAATGAGACAATAAAAGAAATGAAGAAAGGGAGAAAATTTGACCTTATGCATCCCCAACATAAAACTCTCCTATGGAGCAACTGGAGTGTGTGCTTAGAGGTGCAAGACTCTGGGTTAAGTTCCAACCTCCAAAAACAAACAAACTACTGCTCCAATCAATACCTTCCATCCAAGCTGGGCACAGTGAGTGACATGACTCTAATCCCAGTCCCAGCGGCTCAGGAGGCTGAGGCAGGAGGATCGTGAGTTCAAGGCCAGCCTCAGCAACTTAGTGAAGCCCTAAGCAACTCAGAAAGACCCTGTCTCTAAATAAGATATGAAAAGGGGGTGGGGATTTGGCCCAGTGGTGAAGCACCCCTGAGCTCCATCCCTGGTACAGTTCGTTATGTAAAAACAGATGAATTCTCCTGAGTCGCTCTGTGCTTTCCCCCAGAGATCCCAAGCGCAAAGCCTCCTGCACTCAGATTCTTCAATGCGGATGTGACATCCTGCTTCTCTTCTACAATGCTATGGATCAGATAAGGAGGCAGGTACATTGGGACATGCAGAGCAGTATTGAGAATTGTCACCACTTTTGCTAGAGTGGATCATAAAGCTGAATGGATGCCCATTTAGGGACCAACAGCCACCAGTAGTATTGAATTAGGAAATGCATTGCCTCAAATATATCAACTACTAGGGTTTCAAGTAAGTTACACAAGGTAAGTTCCCACACACACGCCTACCCGTGTGTACCCATTATAGAAAGTTCCCTTTTTTTTTTTTTTCCTTTGGTAGCCCTAGGGTTTGAGCCCAAGGACACTTTGTCTCTGATAGACATCTCCAACCCTTTCTATTTTTTTTATTTTGAGGCAGAGTCTCACTAAGTTGCTTAAGGCCCCTGATAAATTGTTGAGGCTGGCCTCTAACTTGCAATCCTTCTGCTTCAGCCTCCTAAGTAGCTGGAATTCCAGCTGTGGGCCCCCCGAGCCTGCCTTATCTCATTATTTTTAAGTTCCCATTTTAATCCTCTAACTGTAGAGAAGCTTACTGAATTCAGAGTGAGCACACCAGGCAGTACAGGTCACAGCACATGTCTTAGGCTTCTCGTAGCTTCTGATGAGACACAAAGGGCTCTGTCACTTTCCATTCCTACTCATGGCTCCTGTCACTAAGCTGGGAGAATCAATCCTAACATCTATGGCTTCTGTTTAAGGGAGTATTTAAACGCAGCAGGAATTAGTCCATTTCCTCACCTGCAGGAAGAAAATATGATCTCTGGATAGCATTGCAGGCTACCAGAAAACTCATTTTCTTGCATTTTGTTTGAGGATTCTGATGCACGATTCTAGTTCAGTTATTACAGGTTCATCTTCCCCAATTCAACACGAGGGCCAGAGGTAGAGTGACTTCAGGGTTGATTTGACAACTTCAAGAATCCAGGTTTTTTCATACCTCTGTAGATCAACTTTGTCCCCAGACTGTCTCCCCTCATAGTCTCAAGAGTGCTGCCATGATGCCGGGTATCACATCTGGACAGAAAAATATCCAGGGGGACAAAGGAGACTAAATCTTCTGTTTTCTTCCTAGAAGAGTTGACAACATCTTTTCCAGATCCCTCTCAGACTAGCGAGGTAGCTCAGGGGTCTGGGCATGATCCCCAGCACTGAAAAAGAAGAAGGAGAAGGAGACCCCCATCTCACAATAAAACATGAAAAGGGTTTGGGATGTGACTCAGGTGTTAAGTGCCCCTGAGTTCAATCCCTGGTACAAAAAGAGAGATAGAAGGAGGAAGAGAAAGTGGAGGAGAAGGAGGAGATGAAAAGGAGTCTGAACTCTAGATGCCACTCATCAGCTTCCATTTTACACACTGGGTGGCACGCCCATCCCCAAATCCATTACTGATAAGAGGAAGTGAAATTACTATGACTGATTAATCAGGATTCAGCTTGAGCTGGAGGCAGTGACATCTTCCATGACAAAGCCAGGGCCCGTCATCAGAGAACTGTCCAGTAAGTGGAGGGCACCCTTCATCAGGTGGGAGTCTGTTCGACCTCCAGAGGTGGTCAGGCAGAAAGCTGGGGGACTCTGGGCCACCCATGGCATTTGCCCGAGCAAACCTCTCCCAACCTCAGCAAAGGTGCAGGTGATATGCCAACAGGACAGTCCATGCCCCCACGGCTTATCTGCATACCTGTGCTCTTTCCTGAGGCTTCCAAATCTCAGAGGATACGGGAGGGGGGCATGCAGTCAGAGTGCAAGGTCAAAGGAGCAACTTGACTGAGCACCTACTAGACCCAGAGCGTGCTTTTACACAGCAGAGATTTAATTCTCACAGGAACCGTCAGCTAGGTCCTGTCGACACCTGCTGTGAGGGCGGAAGCAGTGACACCCTCAAGCTCTCTGCCCAACACAACTGGCTGGAAAGAGGCAGAGCCCAGACTCCAGCACCAGGATGCCTAAGTGGCACCAGCAGAATGTTACCTTCCTTCACCCAAGACAGCCAGTCACGGGTAACAGAAAAGAACCCACCAAAAAACACAGTTGGCACGGGAATGAAGCTGGAGAAGCCAGAGAAAGAGTTAGAACCAGTGCCCACCTGTCATCCCAGCAACTCAGGAGGCTGAGGCAGGAGGGTCACAAGTTCAAGGTCAGCCTCAGCAATTTAGCAAGGCCCTAAGCAACTTAATGAGACCCTGTCTCAAAATAAAAAGTATAAAGGACTGAGGTGTGGTTCCGTGGTTAAGCGCCCCTGGGTTTAATCCCTGCTACCAAAAAAACTAAAGGAAGAATTAAAACCATTCAGGAAACGTGAGGCAGGCAGCACATTCTGACCCCACAAACACGGAGCATAGACACAAGCCACACATAAAGCACAGTCACGGCCATGATTTGACTTCCTAAGACTCCTAAAGCAATGCCACTCCAGTACAGTCCACAGATTGCGGCTGGTTCACACTGTACTTGTTTCAAGTTCACAATAAGGTACAGAGATGAAAGTGAGTGGGAGAAAGAAACCTTCCTCCTCCTTCTTTTTCTTTTTCTTCTTTTCTCTTTCTCCTTCTTCTCCTCCTCCTCCTTCTTCTATCTCTTTTTTTTTTTTTTTTTTGTACCAGGGATTGAACTCAGGGGCACTTAACAACTGAATCACATCCCAAACCCTTTTTATATTTTATTTTGAGGCAGGGTATCACCGAATTGCTTAGGGTCCTTACTAAGTTGCTGAGGTTGGTCTCAAACTTGTGATCCTCCTGCCTCAGGCTCCCAAGTTGCTGGGATTACAGGCAGGTGCCATCACACCTGGCCTGAAAGAAACCTTTCTAATACTTTGGCCATGCTGTGACACTTAAATATATGATGAATAGATTTGTCTCAAGGAGCGGGTCCACACCAGTTTGGGTGTTACTGAACTCAGATTGCACAGAACAGGAGCTGAAGGCTATACCAGATCTATGATGGATGGAAAAGTTAAAACTCAAACAAATGAAAAGGAGGAGGAAGAGGAGGAGGAGGGGGAAGAGGGGGAGGAGGAGGAGGAGAAGGAGGAGGAGGAGGAGGAGAAGGAGGAGGAGGGGGAGGAGGAGAGGAGTAATAATAACAATAATAATAATCCTGGTACCAGACTGGGGTTGTGGCTCAGTGGTAGAGCACTTGCCTAGTATGTGTGAGGCACTGGGTTCGATTCTCAGCACCACATAAATATAAATTTAAAAACTCCATTGGTAAATAAAATAATATTTTTTAAAAACCTGATACCAAAAATAAACAAATATAGAGAAGAAGAAAACCTGGTGCTGCTTCCCCACACCACCTGGAAAAGCACCACCCTGGAGGTCAGCTTGATGGATATAATTACTCCCATTTTACAGGTGAAGAGAATGAGACGTAAAGAGAGTGAGTCACTTGCCCAAGGTCAGCACCGCTGGGAGAAGTCCAGACAGGAAACACTCCAGTTCAACGACAGACGAGGAGAACTCTGAAGTCTCCCTGCTCCTGATATCAGAAAGACTGCTGGCTGCAGAGGGCTGTGGGAGGGCCGAGGCTTGAGGGGGGTCCAGCATCCCCCAGCTCTGCAGAGCCTCTGATGAGCACTATCTAGAAAGAGCAGTAGGGGAGGTGGGTACAATATATTTTTTTTTAAGTGAGAAAGAGGGAGAAGTGGGGGTGAGGGGAGAGGCCAGGAATGAGAGGGGGCTGGACGGATTTGTTCCTGACAAGGGCCAGCCTTGTGCATCCAGATTCCCTGGTGGTCATTAGTAGGACATAGTCATTGTCACTGTGCTTTCCTTTCCACAAATCACAAAGGACTTTTTTTTTGGAGGGGGGTTGCTGGAAATTGAACCCAGAGGCATTTAACCATTGAGCCACATCCCCAGCCCTTTTATTTTTTATTTTGAGGCAGGGTCTCACTAAATTGCTTAGGGCCTCACTAAGTTGCTGAGGCTGGCTTTGAACTCACCGTCCTCCTGCCTCGACCTCCTGAGTCGTTGGGATTAGAGGTGTGCACCACCACTTCTTGTCTGTGTCAACCTCCTCTCTCGCTAGCATTGCTCTAGTGTTTCTGTACTGTCACTTGCATAGTCACTACCTCCCAACCCCAGTCCCAGCTTGCATCTGTAAGAAGGTTGCTCCGGCACCAAAAGGATCTGGCTCTCTGTTCCCAGGCTCAACTTCCTGGAAAAAAAAAAAAAAATTGGCTGTCTGAGCTCATCTTCTGAAGCCAGGCTACTAACCAGTGGTCACCAGCCTACCTGAGAATCTGTTCTCCTGGGTCCAAGGCCTATCTCTGGTCCCAAGAGCTATTGTAGGAAAGTCCAAATCAGTGATTCTGAGAACATCTCCTTAAGCCACCTGTAATCCCAGTGGCTCGGGAGGCTGAGGCAGGAGGATGGAGAGTTCAAAGCCAGCCTCAGCAACTTAGCGAGGCCCTAAGCAACTCAGTGAGACCCTGTCTCTAAATAAAACATTAGGGCTGGGGAGGTGGCTCGGTGATTAAGTGCCCCTGAGTTCAATCCCCGCCCCATACCAAAATAAATGAATAAATATAAAAGAGAACATCTGCTTAAATGAAGAACATGGAAACAGGTGAACCAACATAGCCAACCTAGTGTGCCCAGGAACTAATGATGAATAAACATACTCCTGTCTGTGCCGCGGTTTCTAACCAGAAGGACACCTTCTCTGGGAGACAGATCCTCTTTGATTTCTTCAGGTTGGTTTTTATTCCTTCAGCCTATGAAGGCCCAAGTTTTCAATGTCATGAGGATTTCAACAACAGAGGTGATTAAAATGTGAATATGTGCCGCTCAATTTAACTTTCCATAGGTGTTCCACAACCCGGGGCAAAATGGGTTTGTAACCACATGTGACAGCGTGCATGCCCCTAAAGGAACTCCCGCCATGTTCACCTGAAGCTGCTTGTGTGCTGCTCTCCTTCCTCACGGCCCCGTGAGGACTTTGGAAACCTAGACCACACCACGGTCACCTTTGTACCCACGGTGGATAGTGCGGAGCCTGGCCCCGGACACAGAAAGCTCAACAGATGAGCCCAGAGTGAGGGATGATGGAGGGAGAAACTGCACCGTGAGCTGTGAGGTGTGAGCTCCAGACCAACCAGGGAGGGGTCAAGGTCAAGGCCAAGGGCGCGGGGCCGGCGGGGCAGAGGCAGAACCTAGAGTACTCGGATTCTACAAGGAAAAGCAAAAGCAAGGAAAACCAAACGCCTAAGGAAAAGACAAGAAGTGTGGAGCTGCTGCCTCTGCGGCCGCCGCATCTTGTACTTCCAGATAGTTCTTTAGGTGCTTTTGGATGCTGTGCCATAGGAGGCGGGGAGGAGAGATTACAGCTGGGATTTAGCTGCCCAACCTGCACAAGGAAGATAATGATAGCTGCTTTGTTGAGTGGCTGAAAGAACAAAAAGGAGATAACAGGTGAAGCGGGCTCGCAGAGCCCATAAAAATGGCTCAGGGGCCCTGGGTGACAGGGTAGCCAGGAACCGCGCAGAACCCGCAGGGCAGACGGACCACACTGCAGAAGGGAGCAAGACCCATCCGGGGGCTTTCACAGACCCGCGCTGTCCTTATCCAGTCACCTTCACCCTGGGATCTAGAGCTTGGAGCAGCAGGGCTGTCACTGTCCCTCTGACGGCAGACCTGCGTAGGCCAGTAACAACGTTATGGTGTTAATCATTAAAACACTCTGTCTGTTTTTGTCTGGGAACAAGGCAGTTCGATCTTTGTCCTCCCTCTATAAAGATGAAAGGTGAGATGCTCCTGAGGTGGGGAGTCGGAGCCCAGGGAATTGGCATGCCTGCCCGGTGACTGGCTGCAAAGCCTT